TGAACAAACTTGATAGCCCTTCATCTCAGCATGTTACTGGCCAAATATCATCACCCTAGGCCTCTTGGTTATTCAGAAGAAGTCGTTTAAAGGTTTTAAAGATATTCGACTCCAGTGACCTTGAATATAAATCACGGTCATTTATTTGAACAAACTTGATAGCCCTTCATCTCAGCATGTTACTGGTCAAATATCATCACATTAGGCCTCTTGGTTATTCAGAAGAAGTTGTTTAAAGGTTTTAAACATATTTGACCCCTGTGACCTTGAATATAAGTCAAGGTCATTTATTTGAACAAACTTGGTAGCCCTTTATCCCAGCATGTTACTGGTCAAAGATCATCACCCTAGGCCTCTTGGTTATTCAGAAGAAGTTGTTTAAAGATTTTAACATATTTGACCCCTGTGACCTTGAAAATGGTTGAAGGTTATTTATTTGAACAAACTTGGTAGCCCTTCATCCCAGCATGCTTCTGGCCAAATATCATTACCCTAGCCCTTTTGGTTACTGAGAAGAAGTTGTTTAAAGTAAAAAGTTGACGCCGGACGGACGCCGGACGCCGGACGCCGGACGGACGCCGGACGGACGCCGGACGCCGCACCATGCCATAAGCTCACTTGGCCCTTTGGGCCAGGTTAGCTAAAAACCCTATTTACAACTAGATATTTACCCTGTTACACATTAGCTTTCAGGACCATACAGATATAGTATGTGTAAATAGCTACAGTATGCAGACAATGTAAGACTTGTTTACCTACCTCTGTTTCTATGGAAGTCACTGGCAGTCAATTGTACCATGATGAAGTGCATTCCATAAAAAGCACATGCAGTGATGGAAAATGCCATATTGATAAAGTCTATTGTGTTCCAAAATTGTTTGAAGAAACTAAATTTCTCTTGTTTCAACTTATTCACCAAGATATACAGGTAATACAACGTAAATGCCACAAATATCAAGTCGAAGATGAGTAGAAAGAGAGCTGACGCGCCTACATATCGGTAAAGTATGACAGGTGTGATCTGAGCGTAAGGGATGATTGATCCTGAGGCTGGGAACTCAAGCACAAGGCACAGTACACAGAAAAGGTTCACATTTGGGTTGTAGATGTTGGCCTCCACCATGACTGCGCGAGTGTTGCGGTCAATCCACCCGGCACCATGTAGGTAATCAAAAGTAGCAGCAGCTGTATCATTAGTGTTACCAAGGGTGGTAACGTAACCACCGCCACCGTACGAGTCGTATGTCGCGACCACAGGGTAGCCATTGAGTTGTTTGGAGTCCTTGTACTTCCAAGCCTGGCTCGTGTTGTTGTAGGATACTGTGTCCCACCCCTCACCATAACTCTCAGTGTCGTAGGTGTCTAGTCCATAGTCAGGGTAACACACCTTGAAAAAACGCTTGAACTCTGCAGGAATTCTACAGTCAGCTAATGGTAGAAATTGAAAAATGTTAGATGGTAAACAATATCATCAACTTATAGGGAGAGCTCTAGAAAATGTTCAATACAAAGGCAGTTTAACGCAGCACTTTTAACTCATCAAAGTTTAATGCAGCAATTTTATCTCATCAAAGTTTAATGTAGCACTTTTATCTCATCAGAGTTTAATGTAGCACTTTTATCTCATCAAAGTTTAATGCAGCACTTTATCTCATCAAAGTTTAATGCAGCACTTCATCTCATCAAAGTTTAATGCAGCACTTCATCTCATCAAGGTTTAATGTAGCACTTTTATCTCATCAAAGTTTAATGCAGCACTTTATCTCATCAAAGTTTAATGCAGCACTTCATCTCATCAAAGTTTAATGTAGCACTTTTATCTCATCAAAGTTTAAATAGAATTAAAAGATAATACTGGTTATTGCAGTCAATCAAAGATCGAAAGTGATCTTACACACATACCAAACAGTGAAGTCGTGTTAACTTTAGATGTAATAAAAAAATAAAACATTAGCAAGCTATTTTATCAGAAATTATTAGCACCCTGCACAATGGTTTTAATTCTGGCCCATGTATTTGATATCATGTCATGTACATAAATCAGCTGAATTGACATGTCCAGTTAAATACACTTACATTAAAATTTACACAACAAAAACTGCAAAGTGTACCTTTCTTTATCCTGGCCTGCCTTAGTCTGGGTGTACCGACTCTGTAGTGGATATTGTCACTAAGGTAACCTTGATAATCTGCAGAGTCATTCCCAGAGTAAAGGCCACCCGAGTAAAGTCCAGGAATCAGTATGTCATTAGCCCAGTTCCAGAAATAATCAGCTGAGGAAATCTAAAATACATGTCTAAGTGAATACACACAGATCACAGTATTACATATGTAAATAAAAGTATAACATACACAGATCACAGTATTACATTTGTAAATAAAAGTATTGCAGAACTGGACAGGGTTGATCACTGTCAATCAGGTATCTCGTGATCAATTGGCTAGATCATTCGTGTAGAGTTCAGAGAGCTCATTTGGTTTGAATCCCAGTTTGGCTATGCACTATCTTCTCTAGTTACAGTGGTCTTACAGTGGTCCAGTGACCAACCCTTATTTCAAGTACTGGGTGTACACTTGGCAAGGGGATACACCCAAACCTGGGTTGTATTAGTGTTGTCTTTGGGGGTAAAGTTTTAGACAAATGAGGGAGGAAAGTATCAGAACTGGCAACTAAGTATTGTATAAAAGCGCTTTAAATTCGCGGGGTCAATATTTCACAGTTTCGTATTCAGTACATATTCGCAGCTGTTAAATTTCGCTGTGCACCAGCCCTCAATTCCATGTGTCATGCAAAGTATTTTGAGTGTCATCATTTAAGGGTTAAACCTCGAAATACAGGTAAACCGTTTGAAAACACTCATCCCGAGCATGGTCATCCGCCAGTGACTTCACTCTAAAGAAAATCAGATTGATTGATAGGTTTAACGTCCACTTCACTAACGCGTATTTCGGTTATCCAGCTGATTTGAGTTCATTTAAGCTTGCATAACAGCGTTGGGTTATAAGTATTTTCAACATGTTGTGATAAGGTCCGTAAAAGTAGTTAACATTTTTGATAATTTCCCTGGTGTTTAGAATTGGCGGATATTAGTCAAAGCGTGAATATAGCAAAATTAAAACCCCCGCGAAGTATAACTGCTATATACAGTAGCTCAATTGGTTAGAGCATCTGTTCAGATTTTGGAGGTGGGGGTTACAGTGTATATAGATCACTCATAAAAATAAAAAACATGTCATAATTTTACATAAATAGATCAGTATTACATAAACATATCATAGCATTACATTAACAAATCACAAAATAAGTATTAATACCCCTCAACACTTACAAAGGTTGTGCTTTTTAATGAAAACCTAGGCAGTAAGAACCAGTTATTAGCCACACTTACATTGATAAAGCTGGGCTGGTATTTCATGGGAGGCTTCAGGAAGAGGTTTTCTAGGTGAGAGAAGGTTGGATATGCATTCTTGCTCCGGTTCTCATAGGTCAGGATACAGACCACTACAAGATATACAATGTATGCCCCCAACTCACGCCCAATGTTAAAAAGGCGATTTACTCTTTTTCGATGTTGCCTTGCACTTTCTAAATGACTGTAGTTGGCAGTTTTGGCTTTGTATGGACGTCGATGAGCTAAAAATGTAAACAAATATGAACCACAATCATATCCAAAGTAGTCCAATTAAAGAAATCTAATTATTTAAGCCTTATAATGAGAATTATCTCAATGGTTTTGCTTAACTGCCATAAATATCAATCCGTATCAACAATATTGGCAGTTAGAAAAATGACTTTTTATTTGGTTCTGCACATCAATGAATTTGTTTTAAGTTTGGAAATTGTTTTTTGTCAAATTTGTTCACTGAACTTGTTGAAAAGATCGTTAAGTAGCCCTTCGTCAAATGTGGTGACGGTAGCAAATTTGGTGTCACACAGCTATTTCAACGACCGTTTGGTATATTTTCATCAAATATGATCGCTTAAATTTATCAAATGTGGTCATTTAACGTCATTTTTGGGGTCAGTATTGGGTGGTCGCTGGTCAAGTTAGGCAGATGGTCGCTTAATACAGTTAAATTACAGAGTAAAAACAGTCGGGAGGAATGAAAAGTGGTCGCATAAAACCCTTAAGTATCATATACATCACAGTTTAGGTAGCATATACCCTTAAGTATCATACATGTCACAGTTTAGGTAGCATATAACCTTAAGTATCATACATGTCACAGTTTAGGTAGCATATAACCTTAAGTATTATACATGTCACAGTTTAGGTAGCATATACTCTTAAGTATCATACAGTACGTCACAGTTTAGGTAGCATATACCCTTAAATATCATACAGTACGTCACAGTTTAAGTAGCATATACCCTTAAGTATCATACACATCACAGTTAAGGTAGCATATACCCTTAAGTATTATACACGTCACAGTTTAGGTAGCATATACCCTTAAGTATCATACACATCACAGTTTAGGTAGCATATACCCTTAAGTATCATACAAGTCACAGGTTAGGTAGCATGTCACAGTTTAGGTAGCATATTCCCTTAAGTACCATACACATCACAGTTGAGGTAGCATATACCCTTAAGTATCATACACATCCCAGTTTAGGTAGCATATCCCCTTAAGTATCATACAAGTCACAGTTTAGGTAGCATGTCACATTTTAGGTAGCATATACCCTTAAGTATCATACAAGTCACAGTTTAGGTGGCATATGTCGCAGTTTAGGTAGCATATACCCTTAAGTATCATACAAGTCACAGTTTAGGTGGCATATGTCGCAGTTTAGGTAGCATATACCCTTAAGTATCATACATGTCACAGTTTAGGTAGCATATAACCTTAAGTATCATACATGTCACAGGATGGTAGTGTTTCTCCTTAACAATACTGACCACTTTTCACAGCATGGCCCATTGTAATCACTGCATACTTGAAAAGAATAGATCTGATCATACTGATGGATGTCTATATTTAACAGTAAATTTGAGTTCATCTTTAACACTGGATGTGTACGTACCTGGATAAGATGGTGATTGTGGATTTGTTACCATAGATACATTGTCAGGTAAGACAATTTCGTTTACATATGCCTCTTCATCATCATCGTCAACATGCTTGAACACCAGGATGAGAACAAGAGCCACTGCTATCACCTGTCAATTAAGGAGTCTAAATGTGTATCAAGTTAAATTTCAATATAAAAAAAAAAAAATCATCATGAGAATTTTATATGCAGAATTTTGCTGTCCATCCCTAGGGCTTACCTTGAGTGGCTGTATGAAAAGGACAGACTCTATGAAGGACAGGAAAAAGGCAGTGAGCCATCGAGTAGACTTCTCTGACCCCCATTCTATACTGTAGAGGATAACAAAGAAGGCGGATGCCAGGACAGACAGCACCACCAGAGCCCACGCTACATATAGACACCAAAATGGCAGTTGCTTCCTCTTCTTCTTCCCTCCCTCAGATGTCTTCTGCTGATTTTTTCTGCTATTAATAAGACGACTTGTTTTATTTTCAAAGTCTGCCCATGACTTGTATGCATTAAATGGTTGGACTAGAGCTGTGTCTATTACACTCGGGGTAACACAGCCATCACGCTCCTCTGAGCACTCATCCGAACAGTACTGCTCCAGCCCTTTCTTTGACAACATTTTTTCATGTCTGATTGATTCTTCATCTTTAAGTTCAGTCTGTTGAGTGTCATTAACTTTGTACTTTGATAAACGTCTCTCAGCTTTCTTAAAGAAGGTGATTATGATGATACTGACTGGTACAACGATGATACTGCCTGTTATACTGATGATCAGCTCCTGGCCGGAAAAGCTGAGCGGACCAAGATGGACGTTCTGTTGTTGGGTTGTGTCTATAGTACCATACCACATGGCATTGCTTACCATTGTGAGGAAGAGAAGGGACAGACAACAGGATAACCTCTGTACACGAGTAAATACACTCTGGGTTGGACGAGACAGGACAGATATCCACAGGTGACCATCGGTCAGATCCTGTCGTGTCCTTGTGTAAAACAAATGGTCAAAGTTGTTCAGTTCTGACTGTGCAGCAACAGGAAGTAGACGTTCTATCTCTAGGTCAGCTTTATCTACGGCCAGCCATTGGTTACACAGGAACACATACCTACAAACACAATAGGATAACTGGTAACAAGATAGGCTAGGGTTCACATTTACTTAGTTCAAATAAGACAATAACTTAAATGTACGACTTTCATCTTCCTAAATTGCTCAATTTAAGTTGGATCATTTGCAGTCAGAAACAGTTGCTGGTAGAAACTGTGATGGACCTGGTCTTGCTGTTAGTCAGAAGTGACCTTTGTAGACAGCCTCTATTGCTCATCATCACTTTAAAGTTATCTAGTGATGTCTAATCCCTAATAGAACCTACTTGTTGTTGTTTTGAAGATCTTTGATAAGCACCATATTAAGGAACCAATCAGCATTGTTGCCTTTCCCAGAGTTGTCATGCCAGACACGTAGGAATACGAGGTTTCCAAGGCTAAAGGGCACACTCAGCAGGTAGTTATTGACACTCCCACGGCTCAGCGGCTGAAACATAGTTTGATAAACAAATATTGACAATGCGCTTCGTAAAAGTCTTACAGATAAAGCTACATTGAGTGTTCCAGTTAAACTCATGATGTCATTATGAGCTCACAAGTTCTTATCAGAGAAGGTAAATTTTCCTCAATATAATTGTAACAGGATGATTGACTGACAGTGATCAAACAAAGTTTTTATCCTGGACAGTAACATCATACAGGATGGCTCAACCGGTACCTTTGATCATAACTCTGTTCAAAGAGAAAAACGTCATATATAAGTCATTGTGCAAACAAGCATTAACATATTATGATATTTGACTCCCTGTTGTGATCTTTATGGTACACACCTGTGACAGGTACTTGTGACACCATCCAATCATAACACAATCATTCATCATTTTAGAAATAAGATTTTAACCAGAGGCCCAATGGGCCTGAATCGCTCACCTGGTATTAATCTCACATTTGTAATCTTAAACGTGGACTAAAATACAACTAGAGGCAGAATATCAGTGTTTGATTCATAAGAACCCATTAAAAGATTTAAACATATGACGAATGTGACCTTGAATGTCGAACAAGGACATTAGGTTGAACAGATTTTATAGTCTTCCAACCCAGCATGCTTTTGCCAAAATATCATTACCCTGGACCTTTTGGTTATACAGAACAAGTCATTTAAAGATTTAAACATATATTGACCACTGTGACCTTGGATATACTTCAAAGTCATTCATTTGAACAAACTTGGCAGCCCTTCATCCTAGCATGCTACTTGCCAAATATCAGAACCCTAGGCCTCTTGGTTATTAAGAAGAAGTTGTTTAAAGGTTTTAAACATATTTGACCCCTGTGACCTTGAATATCAGTCAAGGTCATTCATTTGAACAAACTTGGTAGCCCTTCATCACATCATGCTACTGACCAAAAAGCATCATCCTAGGCCTTTTGGTTATTGAGAAGAAGTTGTTTAAAGGTTTTTTTACATATTTGACCCTTGTGACCTTGAATACAAGTAAAGGTCATTCATNTAACTCCACAAATTATGGTCGGATAATGGCGGTTATCGAACTTGTCCGAGGTTTCATGGTAATTAACCTTGTTGTGAAGTTTGAAGTTAATCCGTTAATAATTACTCGAGATATCGAGCGGACATCGTTCATATGCCCGCCCGCCCGACTGCCCGCCCGCTCACGTGATAACATAATACGTCCCCGTCTTCGACGGGCGTATAAAAATTAAAGTAAGCAACACTCCAGTATCCCAACAGATGTAATCACCAAAACTCAAAATTTGGTTATTGTAGATGACAGAATGTATATGAAGTATGCCTTGGACTAAATGATGCACCAACTGACGGACTGCGTGCAAACCTAGTAACGGAGGAGAACTGATTACCCGTGATTGACTGTCATCCACTGCTCTGACTTCGGTGTCACCATCCTCCCCACCAAGGACAAAGAAGACTTTCGAGGTTGTGCCGGAGTTCTGCCTCAGTCCTGTGTACACTGTCATCTGGTAGTTGTATCTGTCTGTAGACAGGTTGTCACACAAGGGGTAAATAGCCCACTGGAATAGAGACATTCAAATGTAGGCCACACAGAATTTGTATCACATCGAGATATTTTACTTCAATAAGCCTAGGATTATAGGTATCTATGTCAAAGCCATAACTTTGGCAATTAAAATCTGAAATCAACTTTTCTTTCTTTCTTCTTTTATTCACTTTAGAGTCAATACAAATTATATAAAGACTGATAGACATGTGATTCCCATGAGCTGAATCTAACATCTAGACCCTGTGTAACTTGGAAATAAAAACAAATGTAAACATACCTTTTTCATGTCTCTCTTGTCAGCTCTGCGGACATATAGAAGGACAAGGAAATAGACCACAAACAGGGAACCCACGGTAGCTATGACGGCCACGTTGTCAGCGGAGAACTTGGACCACACGGTGTTGAAGTCTATGGTGTTGGGTGGGACAAACACGTTGGTTCCAAATGTAGTGAGATGTGTGGAGTGACATGGGGCCTCCAAGAAGGACGTCACATTTCCCAACTGTCACCAGAGGGATCAATACATAAACAATTATCATGAAGTGCAGGAAAATGTATGATTCTTTCTTGATACATATATTTGGTTTTCATAAGTTTTACACAGTTTCAACAAATTGCGAATTTAATTAAGTCGAGTACGTTCTTTGACCTGTACCTGGTAATTATCTACATACCAAAAGGCCGTTCCTTGACCACTGTTTTGTTGTTTCATCCCAGAAGAGGCAGTCCAGTACATACAGAGCTATCTGCATTATTGTGGTCCTGCTCACGTGCTCTGTTAAACACAAAAACTGTAGTTAATTCTCTGTAAAATACTGTAAATCAATCACATGACACTGTAAGTCAATCACATGACACTGTAAGTCGTTAAACTGACACTGTAAGTCTATCACATGACAGTGTAAGTGAATTACATGACACTGTAAGTGAATTACATGACACTGTAAGTCTATCACATGACACTGTAAGTGAATTACATGACATTGTAAGTCTATCACATGACACTGTAAGTCAATCACATGACACTGTAAGTCTTTAAACTGACACTGTAAGTCTATCACATGACACTGTAAGTGAATTACATGACACTGTAAGTGAATTACATGACAATGTAAGTCTATCACATGACACTGTAAGTGAATTACATGACATTGTAAGTCTATCACATGACACTGTAAGTCAATAACAAGACACTGTAAGTCTATCACCTGACACTGTAAGTCTATCACATGACATTGTAAGTCAATTACATGACACTGTAAGTCAATCACATGACACTGTAAGTCAATCACATGACACTGTAAGTCTATCACATGACAATGTAAATATATCACATGACACTGTAAGTCAATCACATGACACTGCAAGTCAATTACATGACACTGTAAGTCAATCACATGACAATGTAAGTCTATCACATGACACTGTAAGTCAATTACATGACACTGTAAGTCTATCACATGACACTATAAGTCAATCACAAGACACTGTAAGTCTATCACCTGACACTCTATGTCTATCACATGACACTGTAAGTCAATTACATGACACTAAGTCAATTACATGACACTGTAAGTCAATCACATGCCACTGTTAATCAATCACATGACACTGTAAGACAATCACATGACACTGAAGTCAGTCAATCACATGACACTGTAAGTCTATCACATGACACTGTAAATCTATCACATGACACTGCAAGTCAATCACCTGACACTCTAAATCAATCACATGACACTGTAAGTGAATCACTTGACATTATAAGTCTATCACATGACACTGTTAGTCAATCCCATGACACTGTAAATCTATCACATGACACTGTAAGTCAATTACATGACACTGTAAGTCTATCACATGACACTGTAAATCTATCACATGACACTGTAAGTCAATCACATGACACTGCAAGTCAATTACATGACAATGTAAGTCTATCACATGACACTGTAAGTCAATCACATGACACTGTAAATCAATCACATGACACTGTAAGTCAATTACATGACACTGTTAGTCTATCAAATGACACTGTAAGTCAATCACATGACACTGTAAGTCAATCACATGACAATGTAAGTCAATTACTTTACACTATAATTCAATAACATGAAACTTTACATGACACTGTAAGTGAATTACATGACACTTAGTCTATCACATGACACTGTTAGTCAATCACCTGACACTGTAAATCAATAACATGACACTGTTTGTCAAGAACATGACACTGTAGTCAGTCAATCACATGACACTGTAAATCAAGAACATGACACTGTAAGTCTATCACATGACACAGTAAGTCTATCACATGACACTGTAAGTCAATTACATGACACTGTAAGTCAATTACATGACACTGTAATTCAATCACATGACAATGTAAGTCAATTACTTTACACTGTAAGTCAATTTCATGACACTTTACAAGGCACTGTAAGAGAATTACATGACACTGTAAGTCTATCACATGACACTGTAAGCCAATCACATGACACTGTTTGTCTATCACCTGACACTGTAAGTCTATCACATGACACTGTAAGTCAATTAAATGATACTGTAAGTCAATTACATGATACTGTAAGTCAATTACATGACAATGTTAGTCTATCACATGACACTGTAAGTCAATCACATCACAATGTAAGTCAATTACTTTAAACTGTAAGTGAATTACATGACACTGTAAGTGAATTACATAACATTGTAAGTCAATCATATGGCACTGTAAACCAATTACATGACACTGTAAGTCAATCACATGACACTGCAAGTCAATCACATGACACTGCAAGTCAATCACATGACACTGTAAATAAATCACATGACACTGTAAATCAATCACATGACACTGTAAGTGAATCACTTGACACTGTAAGTCTATCACATGACACTGTAAATCAATCACATGACACTGTAAATCAATCACATGATACTGTAAATCTATCACATGACACTGTAAGTGAATCGCTTGAAATTGTAAGTCTATCACATGACATTGTAAGTCTATCACATGACACTGTAAGTCAATCACATATACATGGTTTAAGTGTCATTCTATAAAAATGGTTTGAACATACTACTATATACAAAGTTTGAGTGTAATACTATATACATGGTTTGATTGTAATACTAAACACATGGTTTGAACGTAATACTACACACATGGTTTGATCGTAATACTACATATACATGGTTTGAGTGTAATACTATACACATGGTTTGAGTGTATTACTATAGACATGGTTTAAGTGTTATACTATATACATGGTTTGAGTGTAATACTATATACATGGTTTGAATGTAATACTATATACATGATTTGAGCGTAATACGATATACATGGTTTGAGTGTAATACGATATACATGGTTTGAATGTAATACTTTATACATGGTTTGAATGTAATACTATATACATGGTTTGAGTGTTATACTATATACATGGTTTCAGCGTAATACTTTATACATGGTTTGACTGTTATATAAGATTTACTACCAGTGTCCGTTTGGATGTCACTCCTTCCTGTTTCTGTGTGCAGTCCTAGGTACACCAGCTTAGTTGAAGAGGTTTCTAGTGCAGTAGCTATAGCTGTATCTGTTAGCTGTATAATAGCCTGCCATAGGGTTCCATTTCCACTGACATCCTGCAGATCCAGAGAAGATATAAGCCCTCGGACATCATAATCATCCTTGGTCGGAGGGCTTCCGACCTTAACATAGTACTTCAAGATCACATTCTGATCCTGTGACCGAAGGATGAATACAGGAGTGATGTTTGACTCATTGACTGACAGTTGTATGTAGAAGAGGTTGGTATCAGCGTCTGATGATAGGTTGGCAGGGGTAAAAGTCAGGTCTGGTAGGATGTGTGGGTAGGACCTGATCTTGATTGGGGTCAATAGGTTGGCCACCTGTAGGACCTCTCCATCCACATGAAGAGCTATACCTGTTGTTTGTGCCCTTACCTGGGTCGATGAGGTATCTGTTGTATATAGGTTGTCTGCTAACATGATCTACAAACACAAAACAATAATGACAATCATAATTTTTATAAGTACTTGTGGTTTATATGTAAAGACTGTACAGGTAGTGATACAATGTGATTATAATCCACCAAATACATTCTGTATAATCAACTTAACACTCATTGATAATATCTCCTTATAATCAACTTAACACTCATTAATAATATCTCTTTATAATCAACTGAACACTCATTAATATTATCTCTTTATAATCAACTGAACACTCATTAACATTATCTCTTTATAATCAACTTAACACTCATTGATAATATCTCTTTATAATCAACTTAACACTCATTAATAATATCTCTTTATAATCAACTGAACACTCATTAATAATATCTCTTTATAATCAACTGCATGAACACTCATTAATATTATCTCTTTATAATCAACTTAACACTCATTGATAATATCTCCTTATAATCAACTTAACACTCATTAATAATATCTCATTATAATCAACTGAACACTCATTAATATTATCTCTTTATAATCAACTGAACACTCATTAACATTATCTCTTTATAATCAACTTAACACTCATTGATAATATCTCTTTATAATCAACTTAACACTCATTAATAATATCTCTTTATAATCAACTGAACACTCATTAATAATATCTCTTTATAATCAACTGCATGAACACTCATTAATATTATCTCTTTATAATCAACTTAACACTCATTAATAATATCTCCTTATAATCAACTTAACACTCATTAATAATATCTCATTATAATCAACTGAACACTCATTAATATTATCTCTTTATAATCAACTGAACACTCATTAACAATATCTCTTTATAATCAACTTAACACTCATTGATAATATCTCTTTATAATCAACTGAACTCTCATTAATATTATCTCTTTATAATCAACTTAACACTCATTGATAATATCTCAACTTCACTAACTCATTAAAATAAACTTAGTACTCCTCAATAATTTATCTGTTTTATCAGTTTTCCTATAGTCTTTGATTATCTTACCTCCACATCTATGTAATCGAGAACATCGAGATCAACAGACCCTGACAGATCGGGTACGTCTGCAACAGCCTGACCCTCTAAGTACAGCGTGGCGTTGACTACCTCTAGGATCTCCTGGCGCTGGACAGACAGCACAGTGTTACCGATGGGGATAGAGATGACCCTCTCCCCCTCCCCTGGGACTGTGTCCTCCAGTAAGATGGCTGATATCTTGTGTGTGATGCTTATAAAGTCTATGACATATTGTCCCTGTGGTAAAATATAAATATCAGTTGTAATGTTTATAAAGTATTCTGTCATCTTACGATATAGTACAGAAGATAATCTTTGGACAATCTTTTTGAATAACTGAGGTCAGAATTTAGAGCATATACCATAGCGACCTACTTTGTGTAAAGTCGCTCCACAATCATAAATGATACATGCAGAGTAAACTGTGTTGACCCTTGTTAAACAGTATATAAGTGATGCTTCAGACAAATTTGTTCAAGGGGTAATGTAAAAGGTCAAATCATAAGTCACAGTGACCTACTTCTCAAACTTAGTACTCTGCCACCCCAAGATGTACTCTGGACAAACTTTTTCAAAGGTTTAAAGTAAGAGGTCTAGTATAGGTCAATGCAACCGACTTCTGGTACTCTGTATGAGATGTACCACCATATCATTGAATTTTCTCATTGTAAAGAGTTGTGATCTTGACCCCTGATATCCTTAGATACTCTGAGTTCAGTTTTCAGGAAAACATCCACATCAATACTAGCTTGCTTCTCCTACTTACCTGTGCTAATTGGTCTTCTCCTACTTACCTGTGCTAATTGGTCTTCTCCTGCTTACCCGTGCTAATTGGTCTTCTCCTACTTACCTGTGCTAATTGGTCTTCTCCTACTTACCGTTGCTAATTTGTCTTCTCCTGCTAATCTGTGCTAATTGGTCTTCTCCTACTTTCCTGTGCTAATTGGTCTTCTCCTACTAACCTGTGCTAATTGGTCTTCTCCTACTAACCTGTGCTTATTGGTCTTCTCCTACTTACCGTTGCTAATTTGTCTTCTCCAGCTAATCTGTGCCAATTGGTCTTCTCCTACTTTCCTGTGCTAATTGGTCTTCTCCTACTTACCTGTGCTAATTGGTCTTCTCCTACTTACCTGTGCTAATTGGTCTTCTCCTACTTACCGTTGCTAATTGGTCTGTCCCTGCTTACCTGTGCTAATTGGTCTTCTCCTACTTACCTGTGGTAATTGGTCTTCTACTTACCTGTGCTAATTGGTCTTCTCCTACTTACCGTTGCTAATTTGTCTTCTCCTGCTAATCTGTGCTAATTGGTCTTCTCCTACTTTCCTGTGCTAATTGGTCTTCTCCTGCTATCCTGTGCTAATTGGTCTTCTCCTACTAACCTGTGCTAATTGGTCTTCTCCTACTAACCTGTGCTTATTGGTCTTCTCCTACTTACCGTTGCTAATTTGTCTTCTCCAGCTAATCTGTGCCAATTGGTCTTCTCCTACTTTCCTGTGCTAATTGGTCTTCTCCTACTTACCTGTGCTAATTGGTCTTCTCCTACTTACCTGTGCTAATTGGTCTTCTCCTACTTACCGTTGCTAACTGGTCTGTCTCTACTTACCTGTGCTAATTGGTCTTCTCCTACTTTCCTGTGCTAATTGGTCTTCTCCTACTTACCTGTGCTAATTGGTCTTCTCCTACTTACCGTTGCTAATTGGTCTGTCCCTGCTTACCTGTGCTAATTGGTCTTGACACGTATTTAAGGAGCACTCCGCTGAGTATTTTGTCGTTTGGGCATACTTTATCACACCATTCAACAGATCTGAAATGGTTTGAAGCATCAACATTGATCAAACATTTAAGCTGCTGGTTCTGTGATCATGGACTCACTACTGGACTAGAGGTAGTTTATCCTGGTTTTGTCAAAATAACTAGCTGGTGTTTATGCATAAAAATAACAATAACAATAACAGATAACTCAGTTTTGGTTAGCCTATAAAGATCATATTAAACTTACCATAATTAGTAAAGGTAATTTAAAAAAAAATGAAGAAGAATATCTTTTTCTTTAAATTTGAATTTTCATATGAAGTAAAGATATAACTGGTATGCTATTTATTCAGTATACACTGTGACTGCAGTTATGATAAAAGTTTCACTGTATTTCATACTTTTTACCTTTGGCTAAATCTTGTTTCTCATCTGAGGCCATGGAGGATTTGAAGTGATTTTCAAGAGAATTGGCAATATTCTTATAGGAGTCACCTATTTTCATCTGTAACAAAATAAATCCAAGCCATGAGATCTGTGTGTGTGAACACTCAACACCTGGCTATAAAGTTCAAGTTAAATGAAAAATGGAAAAGATTTCTTCAAAACATTGTGTGTGAACATAAAACAATGGAAAGTTACATCCTTGACAGTAGTTCATTGATCCTAGCTGTGATGGCATTATAATATAAACATAAACAAGTTAATATCCATTTACAGGGATGTCGCTATACATTGTTATTGATAATAGACCTTAATTTATATCTGAATTTTATTTGGGAGTTTTCTATTCAACATAAAAGTGACCTTGACCTTAGATGAGCAAACATGAACTCCATCAAAATATTGACATACATAATTGTGATTATAAAAACATGTAAGCCTTCTAGACAGACAAAATCATTTCTACTTATAGCAACAGTGACATTTGGGTAAGCACTCTGAAAAATAAACTCATCTGAGATATCCAAAATACTTGTGCCAAGTTTGATTAAAGATACACATGTATGAACGTAATCAGGGCTTTTAGACACACAACAATTTTATGTCAATTTACAATAATGGTAAGCTGACCTTAGGATGACCAGTCCAAACAGGACATATGCATGCCATCCAAGTGTTTCATATTTTTGCTAAGTTTGGAGAAAATATGTTTTTAAACTAGTCTTGGAGCAATTTCCAATTCCTACATGAAGTAACAGTGACCTTGAGCTAAGGTGAGCATGAGCTAAGGGTGAGCACTCTAACACATGAACCAGTCAGAGAAATCTAAGGTGAACACTCTAACACATGAACCAGTCGGAGAAATCTAAGGTGAGCATGAACTAAGGTGAGCACTCTAACACATGAACCAGTCGGAGAAATCTAAGGTGAGCATGAGCTAAGGTGAGCACTCTAACACATGAACCAGTTGGAGAAATCCAAGGTGAGCACTCTAACACATGAACCAGTCGGAGAAATCTAAGGTGAGCATTCTAACACATGAACCAGCTGGAGAAATCTAAGGTGAGCACTCTAACACATGAACCAGTCGGAGAAATCTAGGAACTTGACACTTACACTGACCTTAAAGAAAGTGCTCCAAAACACAAACTTGCTTGAAATATCAACGTACTTGACATATAAATGCTGGTGAAGAAATGATGAGCTTTTTACACAATATCTGGGCCAAGTGATATGACACATAGAATGAGAAGAAACCCCTTTGACAGTACCTTGTTTTCAGTGGTTAGCTTCCCCACAGTGTTCTTTAGGTGTAGCATGTTATTTAGGGTGTCCACTGCACAGGCGGCCAACACCTCATCTAGGATCAAGTTTCCATTGGTTGTAATCTTACCAATTGTTGCTGTCGTGATCTACATAATGAGGGGAAAATGATAAGTTAGAAAAAAATTTACATTGTTATGTTTTTTATGTCTCCACCTCAGCAGCCAAATTGACAATTGTGTGTAACCTTGTTAATGATTGGTGTATCTGATTATTCCTTGGATTGGTATTACTATTATACATTTATTGATAAGGGTCAGGGTTAGACCCTTTCCCACCATAACTCGTTGATGATGTGACACCTATAGTTGGAGCAGTATCTGTAGAGGTATAAATCTTGCTTGTTGTCTTATAATTCATGTATGAAGGTGTAGGTAATATTCTGACCAATCTCTAGTTCAATACAGGGTCTCATCAAATGCACCCTTTGGTAGAGATGGCTGCATAAATCTATCCTGCCTAAATCAACATTTTATTGAAACTGTTCAGGTGGGATTGAGAATAAGTCAAAATTTTCTCAATCAGAAAACAAGTAACCATCTTTGAACCCATTTGATTAGAAAACATCAACAACATTTGGTCAGGACCATTGTTGCACCATTTGTATACATTTTGTCAAAATAGGCCTGATAAAATTGAAAACAAGTAGAAATACATCCTGCAATTAGAGAACAAGAGAGATATTTTGGAATTTGAAGATCAAAGATGATTTTTTTCCACTAATATTTGTTAACATTTGCTTATTAGACCTGGAGGCACACCCTTTATCAATAAACTTAATTTCCTTGTTCCAGGAATTATCAAGGACGAATCTATTAAAAAACAAGAGGCCCAGAGGGCCTGTATCGCTCACCTGAATATAATTAAAGTAATTGGTATGAAGTAAAGATATAGCACTCCATGGTAGGTGCTGTAAGTACATATGAAATTTCAGAAAGATCCATCCAGTTCTTGAGATATAGAGAACAAACTTCAAACAGAGCCCCACCCCTATGCCCCTACGGGGGTCATACCCACCAATTATTCAAAATTGAGTC